TCAGCATAATGTCCTCCAAGTTCATCCACGTTATGCAGTGAAAAACAAGTATTTTTATGAGATCTAATTTTACAGCAAAGATTTAGACTACAAGCAAGTTTGCTGTTTCTTATGTCCTTTCATTCTCTATCCTATCTTTCCTTTGAATGAGCTTAACAATTTAGGCCTTAGGTCCTAAGCATTCTCTTTTTAAGAAACCATACACTTTTATATGGCCTAGTTTGTAAAGTAGGAACTCTGGTGGTGTAGTGCTTAAGGCATTTAGCTGCTAACCAAAAGGCTGGTGGTTTGAACCTACCAGCTGCTCTGCGGGAAGAAAGATGAGGCAATTTGCTTCTACAAAGATGTACAGGTTTGGAAAACAGTGGGGGTCTCTATGAGATAGAAGCAACTCGACAGCAGTGAGTTTGGTTTGGTTTGAGTTTGTAAAGTGGGTATGTTATAAACAGAAAAACTTAAGGTAATTAATTGATAAAATAATCAGAATCTCTTCTTTTGGCCAGTAGAGGCTGCTGCATGGTAACACAGTACGATAGGAAAAAAATCAATAGTGTAAGATTGCTCTGTCTGACTTATAGATGGAGCAGCCGAGGATCTGTGCTAAGTGCACTGTACTCAGTAGCTGTTTTTTTTTTAAAGTAATTTTTAAACAGTATTGCTCAGGTATAATTGTATCATAAAATTCATCCATTGTTAAGTATACAAGCTTTTTAGTAAATTTATAAAGATATACAGCCATCACACAATTTTGTTGCAGAACATTTCCAAAACCAAAAAAAACTAACTGCCATCGAGTCAATTCCAACTCATAGTGACTCTGTAGGACAGAGTAGAACTGCCTCCCAGGGTTATCAAGGCAGTGAATTTTCATGGAAGCAGACTGCCTCATCTTTCTCCTATGAACTGGTGGGTTTAAACTGGTAACTTTTTGGTTAGTCAAATACTTAAACCATTATGCCACTGCAGCTCTTAGAACATTTCCATCACTGCCAGAAATTCCTTGTCTCTTTATGGTCATTCCCCATCTCCACCCCTTGCCAGTCAGCCATTCATCTGCTTCCTGTCTCTATTTGTTGTTGTTGTTGTTATGTGCCGTCGTCGAGTCGGCCCGACTCATAGCGACCCCTCCTTGGGTTTCCGAGGCAACATCACTACGGAAGTAGAATTGCCCAACCTTCCTTCCGAGGAGTGGCTAGTGGGTTTGAACCGCCAGCCTTCTGGTTAGCAGTCAAGTGCTTTAGCCACTATGCTACCAGAGCTCCCTAGTAACTGGTAGGTAAGCTCAAATGTAAGTAGTTGCTTTTTATTGCTAAATAGTATTCTACTGTGTGGATAATGCTACATACTGTT